CAAAAAAAAAAAAAAAAAATTTCTAAGTCTAGCACACAAAGTAGTGTTTGATTATTTCAGCTCTAAGTTTTCTTCCAATTAACAGCCTATGACTTAAAAAAAAAAAGTTTTTTAAAGTTTCTAAGCAGAACACTTGAGAAACTCTGGTAGGTAAAAGAATGCATAATAAGCTGTATACTGCAAAGTTCATTTTCAGCACTCAGCCACTTTAAATCCTGAAGTCTCTAAAGAAGTTGGCCTCAGCTTAAGCGAAAGATGAATTTCAGAGGAAGTTGCAATTCTTTAGAAAGGAAAATCATGCTTCCCTCTTTTTGACTCATCTCCAAATTTAGAAAAGAACTGAAACTTAAAAACTAAGTCCAACCACAATCAACACAGATTCACTTAAAGCCATAGATTTGGAAGCTTATGTCCTACACCAAGGCAGACAATGAAAAGTATTTAACCTAGTTCAACAAACATGGCAAAGGACACTGAACCTACTATGACAAGCATCTCAAATTCACTTTGTAAATAAACAACAAAAACTCTAATTGGTAAGTTACTATTTTCTTTCTCTCAATACTGTGAATTTAACAAAGCCTAATAAAAACTAAGACGCATTTGTTATTACACGTCCTTATATGTATTTTAAAGGAGCCCTGGTGGCACAGTGGTTCAGAGCTCACCTGCTAACCAAACGGTTGGCAGTTGAAATCCACCAGCCGTTCCTTGGAAACCCAGTGGGGCAGTTCTACTCTGTCCTACAGGGTTGCTATGAGTCAGAATCAACTCGATGACAACGGGTTTTTTTGGTGGTGGTAGTTACGTGCTCAGCTCCTAACCAAAAGACCGGCAGTTCCAACTCACCCGCCACTCTGCAGGAGGAAAATGTGGCAGTCTGCTTCTGTAAAGATTACAGCCTTAGAATCCCCATGGGGGCAGTTCTACTCTGTCTTACAGAGTAGCTATGAGACAGAATTGACTAGGTGACCTTTTTTTTAAAAAAAAAAAAAATGAATTTAAACAATAATAGAACTTAAGACATAATTTCAGACATAATAAAAACAAAGGTTATAAAGAAAGGTCATGGCTATAGGGACAGTGCCCATAGGCTGAGATAATGAACAAAGTAATATTCTCAAGTCAGTGACCAAACATGTATATTCTTATATTCTACTTGATAATGAGAACCCTCAAACAGAACCTATAAAAGTTATAGATAAACGAACCTAATTCACTCATTTTAGAATTTCCATTTGTTTTGTATGATGAATCTGCAAGAGAGACAGCAAGAGAATGATTAGAGCTGAAAAGGAAATGCATCATATGGTTCTCTACCACAGGTTGTTCATCAAAACCTTAACATCTTTATCATTAGTACACTTAAAAAGAACAGTCAACTATCTGTTTAAAAAAAAACAATATAATTCTTAAAGGGAATGACTGGGAAATAGCAGAAACTCAATGTAAAATAAATAAAATTCCTTTTTAGTTCCCATGATAAACATTCTTATGGGTCAATTAAATACTGAAAATGAAGTGGAAGTAGGCAGTGTGGAATAACTTACTAGTTTTCTTTCATAATCATGAAAATCAATTTAAGGGCAATACTTTCTAAGGTTTTAGTCAAAAAGAAATGTAACTGAGGCAGGGAAATTTTATATCCCTGAGCTACAAATCCTCATTCTTGAATTTTTTATTAGCAGTGAAAAGGATGGAAAGTCCCCGATCTTAGTTTAAAATCATCACACTAACAAAAGAACCATAGCAACATCTCAGAAATGACCTCTTAATAAGAATGAGGAAGCCCTTTATGATATGCAAAGATATTTCAATATATGTAAAAATAAAAAACAAGAAGGTGCAGAAGAGTATCATGCTGAAATCTGTGTTAAAACAGAGAGGAAAAGATAATTTATACATGAATTTCCTTGTATCTCTGTAAAATATCTCTGGAAAAATACTTAAGAACGGACAACGTTGGTTACCTCTGATGAGGACACTGGATGGCTAAGGAACAGACGTGGCTAGGAGACTTTTCATTGTGTATCTACAGTAACTTTTGAATTTTGAACCATATGATACATGTACTATCTCATTTGAAAATAAAATTATGCTTATAAAAAAGTTAAATCAACAGACAAAACAATCTCTTACCAGATCTTGAGTTTCTTAGAGGTGGTCTACAGAGGCTAATTACAGGGTCTTCACTCACCACTAATATAGGAAGAAAAAACATTTAAAATAATATAAAATGGCAAATATACTACGCTTATTATACAATCATCCCTTCATTTATCCAGCAAAGATTTACTGAGTGTTTCATTATGCTAGGTATGGGAATACAATAATGAACGAGAGACATGTTTCCTGCCATATAATATTTATAGTCTGGTTGGAGAAATTCACAATTTTTCTCCGCAGACCATACTCATATAAAAGCAAAGAAATACCAAATAAAACTCTTCTTAATTTCTCAATTAAGAACTGAAATCTGTAACATAGCACCAACTCAATTATCTATTTCATTTGTGGCTTAACATTATGGATTATTAATGGTATATGTTTTAATTTTAGGGCTAACTTCTTGAGAGTTAACATACTCCATCCCTACAACTATTTAACCTTGTGTGTAACCAGGAAATGCAAACTGTAATTTTAAATAAAATGTTAATATTAGCCTAGAAAACCACTTATAAAGGTATGTTTCCTCAAAGAGCCTCACACAACATATTCCAAAACCCAATATATATCTAAACTTGGATTATTTTATGCTTTATTGCATACATCACTGTAAAAAAGCATCATGTTTTGGGTCTGTATGAGAACTACAAAAACTACATTCTGGACTGGCTATGGTTGGCCCTCTCCATTACATTGACTGCATATGTCTGTTTTTACAAAATTGACTTAACCAATTTCCCTTTACAGTATTTAGAAAAGAGAAGTCTTAAAAGGACATCCATTCGTTTGCACAAAAAATACTTATTGAACATCTTATTGTGCATCTTAAGGACAGAGTGTAGAAGATGTACTCTCTTATAAAGTGCCATGAGAAAAAAATCTTGTATCTATATGTTCTACTGTTTACAAAGTGATTTTGCTTAGACTAACATCTGCAGTGAGTTAGGCAGGGCAGATAATATAAAGGACCTGAAGCTCAAGGTGGGTGAATGACTTGCCAAAGTCCAGCGCTCTTCCCACAACATTATGCAGCCATGTACCTCATAAGTAGTGAAATACAGGCCTAATTAGAACTCCAAAAGACTGCTCGTGATATTCTACTATATCATAGTTTTGTAATGGTCTATAGGCTGGTGCTCAGTCTTCATTACATCAACTTGCTTAACTCCATAATCTTTATAAATTTACTCTAAATTTTTAACATGAGTTATTTTACTTCTCCAGATATAAGGTATACAATGAAATCTACTGTAAATAAAATTTCAAGATTATTGTTTTTCCAAATGTCCTGGAAAATCTGATTGTAGTACCCGTTACTCAAAGCATTTTTCTGAAATAGTTTACAATCTTAACACAGTAACATAGGCTGTTCAAGGAATTAAACATGAAGATGTGTTTATCTGGAACTGAACCCGAGCCAGATATACTTTATTCTAAATTGAAAACAGAATAGTTCAAATTATAAAGCATAACCTTACTAGAAGGAATAGATTAAAAAAATAAGTTAGGACTTAGGTAAAAACCAAAACAAAAAAAGGGATGATCAGTTTCATTAGCTACAGTCATTTGTTGTTGTGGGACTTTCTTAATTAAAAAAGAAAATGGAACTAAAAACCAAAGTATACCAAGCATTAACAATTTAACTGAACTTAATCCTTTTCCTGCTTTTCAAAGTATTTTAAATAGTTTTTATAACTTAAGTGGACTATTAAATGTACCCTACTCCCACGTTACATTAATTTTAAGAGACAGTTTTGTTTTTTTTTTAATACTTTAACATCATAGTGACTCTATAGGACAGAGTAGAACTGCCCCATGGGTTTCCAAGGCTGTAAATCTTTACGGAAGTGGACTGCCACATCTTTCTCCCACAGAGCAGCTGGTGAGTTCGAACTGCAGACCTTTCGGTTAACAGCCAAGTGCTTAACCACTGTGCCACAAGGGCTCCTTATGCATCTTATAATCTATGGCATATTACAACTTAACTGGCAGCATTTTTTCCTTCTAGGTGGTAAATAAAACAATAACACTGCATCTTACAACTGATGGCATCTTAGATTCAATGAAATATAGTATGAAACTAACAAGATTGACTGTACTGTATCATGATTTTACCATGCAGAACATTTAATCCATTTTAAATGGAAAGCAGTGTGGCATATTCACTCATTCAAACTTAACAAACATACTGAGTAGCTAATGGTTACATGGAAGAGTGAAAGCAATGTACTTGGGGAAAATGAAAGGGCTTTAGAGAAGAAAACATGGGTCTGAATTTTGGCTCAGCCACGTATCATGTGATCTTAGGGAAGAGTCTCAATTACTCAGAGGTCCAGTTTTCTCATCTATAAAATGGGTATAACACCTATCCCATAAGGTTGTGTGGACTAATTAACATACATAACCCGGCTGGTATTTAGTAGGTACTCAAGTGTCAGCTACCATCTTTTCTTGACACGTGTCTATATTGCTAAATTCAATGAACTTATAAAGAAGATTTACTGAAACTCTGAATAAGGTATGTTTTGGGACTCCATGCATAAAAAAAGAAACAGTTAAGGAGAAAAATAAAAAATTAACTACTCTTACCTGGAACCTCTGGTGTTCTGACAGTATTCTTTGAGACTGGTTGGCTTAAGACAGTTTGCGAAGATGGATCATCCTCTGAAGAATAAATTCAACAAAAGTTAAAATTCAGAATGCACAGCCTAGGAAATCATGGTATAGATTATGCATATTAACAGCAATATATCAGCAGAAATGTAAGTAATTAATTTCTTTAGAAATGTATAATTAGGTTTACTAAAACTCTGGGATCAAATTAGTCAGAGCTACTCTTAAAACAGAATATAAAAATAAACTAATTCACCTAATTTTTTTCAGTAACAGATTACCAAACACAACTACAAATGCATGAGCAACAGAAGACAAGTTAGATAACTGGGACCTTCTAAAAATTAAATACTTGTGCTCATCAAAAAACTTTTTATCACAGTACTGGGGAAGACAGCACAACCTGTCCGAGGCAAGGTCATGGAAGCTCCATAGACACAACCAAACTCCTTGAGGGACCAAATTATTGGGCTGAGGGCTGTGGGGACCATGGTCTTGGGGAATATCTAGCTCAACTGGCATAACATAGTTTATAAAGAAAACGTTCTACATTCTACTTTGATGAATAGCATCTGGGGTCTTAAAAGCTAATGAGCGGCCATCTAAGATACTCCACTGGTCTCACCCCACTGGGAACAAGGGAGAATGAAGAAAACCAAAGACACAAGGGAAAGATTAGTCCAAAGGACTACTGGACCACAACTACCACAGCCTCCACCAGACTGAGTCCAGCACAACTAGATGGTACCTGGCTACCACCACTGACTGCTCTGACAGGGATCACAATAGAGGGTCCCAGACAAACTAGACTTACTGGCCTGACAGAGACTGCAGAAACTCCAAGAGTATGGCCCCCGGATACCCCTGTAGCTCAGTAAAGAAGTCACTCTTGAAGTTCACCCTTCAGCCAAAGATTAGACAGACCCATACAACAAAATAAGACTAAATGGGCACATGAGCCCAGGGGCAAGGACAAGAAGGCAGGAGGGGACAGGAAAGCTGGTAATGGGGAACCCAAGGTTGAGAAGGGGAGAGCGCTGACATGTCATGAAGTTGGCAACCAGTGTCACAAAGCAATATGTGTATTAATTGTTTAATGGGAAACTAGTTTGCTCTGTAAACCTTCATCTAAAGTACAATAAAAAAATTTTATCAAAAGAGTGAAAACAGAACCTACAGACTGGGAAAATATCTTTGGGAATGATATATCTGATAAGGGTCTAATCTCTAAAATATACAGAAAACTTCAACAACTCAACAACAAAAAGACAAACAACCCAATTAAAAAATGGGCAAAGGACATGAAGAAATACTTCACCAAAGAGGACCTTCAAGCAGCCAACAAACACATGAAAAGATGCTCATGATCATTAGCCATCAGAGATGCGAATCAAAACTACAATGGCAATGATCAAAAAAACAAAACAACAAATTCTGGCGAGGTTGCAAGGAGATTGGAACACTGCTCCACTGCTGGCAGGATTGTAAATTGGTTCAAACACTATGGAAAATGGGATAGTGCTTCCTCAAAAAGCTACAAGTAGAAATATCCTATGATCTAGCAATCCCATTTCTAGGTATAGACCCTAGAGAACAAAAACTACTGACATGAACAGATATATGCACACCTATGTTCACTGCAGCATTATTCACAACATCAAAAAGATGGAAACAACCTGATTGCTCATCAACAGAAGAATGGATTAACAAACTGTGGTACATATACACAAAGGAAAACTATGTAGCCATAAGAATAATGATGAGTTCTCAAAATATACTATAACATGGATGAATCTGGAAGACATTATGCTGAATGAAATAAGTTAACCACAAAAGGACAAATACTGTATGATCTCACTATTAGAAAAAGACAAGAATAGGTATACATACAGAAAACAACATTCTTTGGTGGTTACCTGGGATGGGAGAGAGAGGAAGGGGAAATCACCTTCTAGATAGTAAACACTTGTTAGTTTTGGTGATGGCCAAGGCAGTACCAAATAAGGATGAAGTTAGCAAAACTTGACCAAAGTAAAAGATGACACTAAAACGTATACAAGGATAAGAGACGATTTTGGTAAAAGCCACAATATACACAATTTTCCAACAACAGTAACAACATAAAATATGTGTGCAGTTACATAAGTAGATATGAATACTTACATATGTATAGGTAAACACATATAAAGGAGCCTTGGTGGTACAGTGATTAAAGTGCTTGGCTGCTAACTGAAAGGTCAGCGGTTTGAACCCACCAGATGCTCCCCAGAAGAAAGATGTGGCAATCTGCTTCCGCAAAGATTTACAGCCTTGGAAACCCTATGGGGCAGTTGTACTCTGTCCTACAGGGTCCAACTATGAGTCAGAATCAACTCAACGGCAGTGGGTTGGTTTTTATTTTGGTTTTAAGCATATATGAATATACAGGTGTGCATGTATAGGTGCTTCTGTAGGGAAATATATATGCATGTTTGTGTGTGTTGCATATACATTCATGTATAAAATAAAGCACATGGGGGCACGGTTATGGATACTTCCTAGACATAACCAAACACCTCACAGGATTGTGTCACTGAGTTTGAGGTCTCAGGACCACAGTCTCGGAGGACAACTTGGGCAATTGGCATAATATTGCTCACAAAGATTATGTTCTACATCCTAGTTTGGTGAGTAGCGTCTGGGGTCTTAAAATCTTGTGAGGGGCCATCTAAGATACAACTACTGGTCTCTACACATCTGGAGCAAAAGAGAAAGAAGGAAACCAAAGACTTAAAGAAGAAACTAGTTTACATGACTAATAGTCTACACCAACCACAATATCACCTACCTTGAGACCCGAATAACTAGATGGTGCCACTAACTCCCACAGTCGACTGTTCTGACCAGGGACTCAATAGATGGTCCCGGACAGAATGGGAAAAAAATGTAGAACAAAACTCAAATTCCTGAAAAAGGCCATTTACTGGACCTGTAGAGACTAGAGGAACCCCTGAGACTATCGCCCTGGGATACCCTTTAAGCTTGGAACTCAAACCACTCCCAGAGGTCACCTATCAGCCAAAAGACAGAGTGACTCATAAATAAATAATATCACCTGTGAGTACTGTGCTCCTCTAAACAATCATATAAATGAGACCTAACAGTCAACATTTACCCTAGACCAAAGATGAAAAACTAAGGGTGGACAAGGATGCTAGATTAATGGAAACAGAACAATCAGAATGGAAATGAGAATGCTGACACATTGTGAAACGTGTAATCAATGTCACTGAATAATATGTATAAAAACCAAAAACCAAACCCACTGCCGTGGACTTGATTCCAACTCATAGCGATCCTATAGGACAGAGTAAAATTGCCCCATAGGGATTCTAAGGAACAGCTGGTAGATTTGAGCTGCCAATCTTTTGGTTAGCAGCTGAGCTCTTAACCCACTGTGCCAGCAGAGCTCCGAATAATATGTATAAAAATTGTTAAATGAGGACCTAATTTGCTATGTAAATTTTCTCCACAATCAAAACTTTTTTTTAAAAAATCAATACATCAGAATACAAAAATAAACTATTCACCACTGACACTGTACAAAAAATATATTACTTCAGAAAATTAAAAACATAGGCTAGACTCATCAAAAATTATGTGGAAGAAAGCAGAAGAGTGAAAAATGTTTAGCTCCTTATTGATTTACTGAAATAGAGGTAAATTCCTGAAAAAACCCATTGCCGTCGAGTCGATTCCAACTCGTAGTGACCCTACAGGACAGAGCAGAACTTCCCCACAGTTTCCAAGGAGCGCCTGGTGGATTTGAACTGCCAGCGTTTTAGTTAGCAGCCATAGAACCTAACCACTACACCACCAGGCTTTCCACAAATTCTCCAAAAAAAAAAAAAAGTTAGCCTAGGTGCTTGTGTTAAGAGTCAACACAATGTAACATATATTTATTGTTTACCATGTGCAAAGCATTCTAAGTACTGTACTGAAAACTCAATGCTGTTGAGTCATTCCAACTCACAGCAACCCTATAAGACAGAGTAGAACTGCTCCATAGGGTCTCAAAGAGCGACTGGTGGATTCAAACTGCAGACCTTTTGGTTAGCAGCCAAACACTTACCCACTGCACTACCAGGGTACTGAAGGAGATACAGAATTAGCTTATGTACTGAAGTATAACATGGTCCTTCAAATACATGTGTTAGGATCCTTGTGTTAACAAAATTTATAATCTTAAAAGATATACATATATATATATAGGCTCAACTAACTTACATATCTTTAACATGAAGTTTCCAAAACTGACAAGTCTTCAACTGTGTAAGCACCTCACGTGTCAGGTAAAATTGCAGCCTATAACTCTGCTCTATGCTGAAAATCCACTGCCTCTTCATAGCCATTAATAGTCCACCACTATGTCATCCCATTGTGACTCAACCTCTACCCCCACCCCGATTTTTGTTTCATGGGTGCCTTACAGGGGGCTAACACGAAACTTCACCTGTGACTTAGTGTTAAACCCCCGCGGGTAGAGTAGGAGAGGATGGGTTAGGGAGTTGATTCACCTGTGACTTACCTAAAACTACACACACTGCCAGCATCCTTCTGGCCTATTTAGAAGAAAACGTCCTAATTACCAGACTCTTGGTGGTGCAGTGGTTAAGGGCTCGGCTGCTAACCAAAAGGTCAGCATTTCGATTCCCCCAGCCGCTCCTTGGAAACTCTACGGGGTAGTTCTACTCTGTCCTATAGTGTAGCTGTAATTCAGAATCGACTCCACGGCAATACACTGCCAGCATCCTTTTGGCCCATTTAGAAGAAAACTTCCTAATTAACAGTCTCACTACCGTTGAGGCTAGACTGAGGGCCCTGTTATAACGTGGCAAATTTTGGCAGACGCCAGCATACTTGAGCTCTAGTTATTAGGCATTGGGGAGCTTCAGTTTAGGATAACTGACTTACCCCCATGCAGGTGTAAGAATATGGGTGGGGACTCAAGTCAATTCACCGACTCCGTTATCCCTAGCAACACCTACGCTCTCAAAATCTCCCTTCCCTCTCCTCACCTGGGTGAGGATGGAAAAAGACTGGAAGGTTAGATTAGAACCATGATCCTGGGCTGGGGACTTGTGGCCTCTGCCATTTAAAGAAGGAAATGGTGGTGACTTTGGTAGAAACATACGCTAGGGCAGAGGGAACCAAAATGAAGCCGAGACTGGAATAATTCGGGGTCCCCAGTGCCGCCTAACTCGCGGTCCCCTTGTGGAGACCTGCTGAAAGAGGCAACCCTGACTCCCCTAAGTTGATGTCCAGGGATGGGCAGCAGCAGCTCCTCGATTCTGCCCCGGTGGTCCCCTGCGACCTACTTTCCCGCCCTCTCGCCAGCGCCCCTCTCCTCCAGCTCGCCCCCCTTTCCTGCCTGCGGATCTGGGCGGACCCCGCGCGGGGGCGCACGTCTAGCGGGGCCGGCGGAGCTAAGAGTATCTCGGCCTAGAAGAGCTCCGGGGAGACGCCCGCCGCCACAGGCGCGCACACCGAACCCACGCGCGCTCCCGGCTAGCGGCTAAGACGTTACCTCCATCGTTCTCACCTTCAGAGGAATGAGAGTTCCGTAACCCTCTCCTGGTCATAACCGGAGACGGCTGTGGCACAGACTGCTCTGAGTGCTGCTGCTGTAGGGGGGCAGCCCTTCGTGTCTTCATTTCCGTGGCTTCCTGGGGTCGCGGCTGCCTCCGTTGCCGAGACCGAAGGTAGTAGGCGCTTGCTTTCACTTCCTCTGTCGCAGAGTCAAGCCGGAACTCTCCTGGCGAGGTTCGTCTTCCTGCCGGGGACCTTTCTTTGGCCACCCGGGGCTCGAAGTCGCCGTACACTTCTGGCGGCTCCTCTGAGAACCTCACTTCCCGCCGACTTTGGCGCCATGGAGAAGGGGTTCTGTACGCAGGCGCGTTACTGCCGCTGCCATTTTGAGGAGCGAGCCGGGGCCTTCCCTCCCTAAGGGGGGCCCTGGGCGTGACGTACGCGCCCCATCCTTCCCGCGCCGGCTCCACCCACCACCCTTCGCCGGCCATAGTTGTTTACGTATCTTGAGCTGATTGCGAAGGTGGTTTGGGGGCTCTTAGATTCTCCTGCCGGTAGTGACGCTGGCTTCTCGGGGTGTTGGGCACTGGTTGCGGCGGTCAGGGAGGTAGCTGACAGTCGCCGGGGCCGCCACCTGCGTCGTCGCTGCTGTGCTGCAAACCTGCCTCTGGGCCCATGGTGGCTCCGGTGGGCTGTGGGAGAGGCAGTGCTTGGTCTGGGTCAGCTGCTGTGGGTCACTCCCGCCTCCTGGCTGGAGGAACCAAAGAGGAGGAGAAGAAGGAGGAGGACGTCGCTGTCCTCGGCCTTGAGGGAGGGAGGGGAAGGGGCAATAGAAGAGGGACAAGTGGCTGGGCAAAGTGCCTGTCCTAAACCCAGCGTTCCCGGCAAGTGTTGCGCGCGGGAGACGCCTGTTATGGCTCCCTGGACCTAGTCTCCCGGAAAAGCCGAGTGGGACGAGGATGGAGAAAACTTAAATTTCAGTCGTCGCCTTCAGGTTGTTGCGCAGTTTTCCTGGGACTTTTTTGATCGACTGTTACCTTGGCCATACCCGTTCAAGTGTCCCTAGCAAGTGTGACGCTTAGATAACTTTTGCACGTCTTCTTTTCGTGGCGAAAATTTTAATTTCAAGCTTCTTATGAAGGCTTTTACCCAGTTTTAAGTCACCCGATAAGAGTGTACAAAGTTGTATCTACTGTCGAAATCATTGGGTGGATCTCCGTTTGCGACATGTACGCATAGCATACATTCATATATAAGCTATTCCAGCAGCAGGTTCGGAAGACCATAGTGACTCATAGTGCTGCGTTATGCACAGTGAGAAATAAATACTTTTTATTCAAGGCAGTGCTGTAATTTGAAGTTGTGACCCATTATTTTTATTTTTATTCTGGGCATGACTTGATACATTGCATTTGGTTTAGAGTTCCTGTGTTTAGTTTACTGAATAAAAAAGCACGATAAAAGCCGTTTGTTTCTCCTCAGTATACCACACTTAACAGGTTTGGATAGTCAGCAAATACCTAACTCAATTTAGATAAGTTGAGGGAAAGTCGATTAAGTTAGTGTAAAGACTGAATAATTACTGAAAGAAAGCTGTGTTACATACCCGTTTGTCTTCTTGGAGGACTTTATGATAGATTTTAGTAAGTAGATGAAAAGATTTTGTAATTTGGATACTAATTACAATGAGTAATTCTGAAAACTTTGAAGGTGCTTACAGCTTTCTTTCAAGTATTTTGCATAATCACCTTAGAATGTTTATTATACTCGTTTGTTGCTCAAAAGTGGGACAAATTTCAATTTAATCAAGTCTTCAGGTGTGTTATGTTTTCACTAATAGTCTAAATTTGGCTACAGATACAAGGAATTACATGCTTTAGAGTCACCTAGCCCATTAAGAGCTTAGTTTAGTTTAGCTTTGTTTATTATATAACATGTAGCCAAAGAAACTGGAGGAAAAGTAACAAGGAAGAGAGGTAGTTTTCCTCCTTTTTTAATCTTTTAAGGGAGAATGAAACACATACCCTCACTTGTTAGCCTGGGTTAGGTGATATATTTGGAAAACTTGCAGGACAAAATGCTGAAAAGTAATGACACTTGGTAATACCTGGCTTTTATTTATTTACGTTTTTTTTTTTTAATTAAAGAATATATTTTATTGTGTCTTTGGTGAAAGTTTACACAGCAAATTAGGTTCCTATTTAACAATTTGTATACATATTGTTAGTGACAGGTTACATTTCGTTCTAAGTAATGCCTTCTCTATAGCATGGTTTGTATATTACTCGTTAACACAACAGTAAGCATTTGATAATGGGTATAATTATTAAAGGATGTAAAACTTTATTAATATACAAAGTTCATGTTATGAATATTAAAACATATATTAAGAGCCTCTTTGAAACATTTACCAGGAAGGTGACTATATAGAAATTTGGATACAAGCTTGTAAAACTTAGGTTTGGGGGAGATATTAAAAGAGAGAGAATGATGAGAGCTTCTATATATTATTGAATAAGCAGTACATATATTAATTTGTAATTTAAAATGCTTTTAAATGCTTAAGAACAGCTTTCAGAAGAAATGAATCATGACAATCTTAAAAGCAGAGTCACATTTGCTTAGATTTTCCCTTCTTTGTTTAAGTAATAAGGATAGATAATCCTAGCTCTGCTGTAACTGCCTTCCACACCTGGTAACTTTACAGATACCAAACTTTCATTGCTATCTGTGAGATAAAGGTAAACTCTTGTCTAACTAGATACTCTGATATAGATGTTTTCCAAACTACAATGGTGACCCCAAAGAGGTAACATTACAGAGATAGTAGACCCATAGCCAATATTATTAGGAAATTGCTGTGCCAGTGCTAAGAGGAGGCCTGAACTTTGGCCATTAGATAATTTCTTTGGGAATTTGAGATATATGGAGGAATTCAGTGAAACGGAAGACAGGTAAGAAAACAAATGATTGTAACAAAGAATATACTCATTCAGTTTAATTCATATACTTATTAAGCATCTATTCCATGCCAACAAAAATATTCACCTTTAGGGAATTTGCCATATGTTAGGGAAGACAGATATACAAAAAATTATAATTCACATTAAATGATTGCATTAACTCACATAATCTAGTCATTTAGGTCTAGAAATCCAGTATTATTGCCACTGGATTTCTGAAAAAAGCAGATACATTAAAATCTGGGAAAGCTGGAACCTGTGTAGAGTGGAAACCTATCAGAGAAGGAAAACTCAAATATTTTCCACTAAAATGATAGTGGTAAGACTGCACCCTGTCAAAGACAGAAAACTTCCCAGACTTGGAAAAACAAGGCAGTCCCATCAAGTTCTGGCTCACACAGTTTTCACTGTATTTTAAATTAAGCTTACTTTATTTTATAATAATTGATAAAATTATTTTTGTACATGAGTTTTTTGTTTAGGGTAAATAGAAATTCTAAAGAGCTCTGGTGGTACAAAAGTTAAGCACTTGGCTGCTAACCCAAAGCTTGGCAGTTTGAACCCCTGCAGCCACTCCGAAGGAGAAAGACCTGGTTATCTGCTCCTGTAAAGGGTACAGCCTAGAATGCCTTATGGGACAGTTCTACTGTCACATGCAGTCACTAAGCTGAAATCAACTTGGTGGCACCTAACAAGTAGAAATCCAGTTATTTACCAAGTAAACGTCTATAATATTGACAACATTTTTGGTCATATAGGGAAATAAATACCTTTGGGGTTCTATCTTAGAAAAGGACAACATTGTTAATAAGGAAAGGTGATTAAAATATTAAATAAGAGGAAGTGAATTAAGGATATAGTAGGTGACTCCATTTCTCCACCCCCACCCCCCGCCCCAATTCTCATAAGTGATAGAAAAACATTTTAAGGACTGTAAGATAAATGAAAACATCTGCTGGAAATGTTATGCTGAAATTAAGAAAATCAATGAGGTGAATGGAATATAATAGATATTCTTCCCCTTATTCTTTCTTGAATTAGAAATTAGTCGATTAATGTACAGAATAAGTGTTCCCAAATCCTGTGACTTCTGCTAAAAGAGGATATCTGAGAGGTGAAGGCACTAAAAATCAAATACTGTAGGGGATTATTCAATAAATATTTGCACTTCCGCTACGTACTAGCCAGGCCCTATGGTTCTAGGTCCTATGGATATAGCAGTAAACAAAAATAGACCAAAAGACTAACAAAAAGCCCTCTGCCTTGTTGGAGTTTATACTCTAAGGAGAGTCAGACAAAAAGTAAGTACATAGTGTGTTGGTCATAAGTATCATGGGGGTAAGGGAGGATATTTACTTGGAGGAGTAGGTATCTTCTGTGTTATCTTGGATTGATGTAGTTCACAAACTGGAAAACCTGAATCTTAGACTTACTTGACTTTGCCCCTAACCAGTTATGTTCTTGGGCAAATTGCTTCCCTTCTCATAGTTTTCAGATTTATAAATTTAATAGATCAAAATAATAGCTACTTTTTATTGATATTTTACTAATATCATTTAGCAGATATCGCTATGTACATCATCTCATTTACTCACAACAACCTTATTAGTCAGGTGGTATTGTACCCACTTGACACATGAGCAAACTGAGGCTTAGGTTAAGCAACTACTTTGAGGACACACACCTAATAATGGCGGAGGCCTGATTCTAAGCCATGTCTGACAGCTGCTTGTTATCATGTGGTACCGCCTCTCACTGTCCTGGTCCTAAGGGTTTTTCCAGCCTATGAATTTCAGATCATTATAGGAATCAGGGTTGTCAGACGTCTTGCAGAGATCCCTGCATTCCGGTCAGGTATCAATCAGCATGAGAATCCTGGGATGTCCGTTCCGTTGTGCGCCTTTACCGAGCTCTGGTCCAGCACCCCGCAGGCTGCTGGAGTTTAGCGGTGAGGAGGGGGAGAGAAGGGAGGGGAGGGGAGGGGCCGGGAGACTACTAGTCCCAGCATGCCGCGGGCGCCTCTCGGCGGAGGTCGCAGTCACGTGAACGGGGTGGGGGAGCAGGGGACAGGAACGGTTTTAAGCTGTTGCGGCCGTGGGGTGTAGCCCAGTGGTGTGGAGCAGGAAGAACACTCGGAGGGCTCCCCACACATTGACAGTCTGCGATTTAAAACACCTGGAATTTGTAAGTAAACAAAATGAATATTCAACTCTTTCATGTTTTAATATTTGAACTGATACCATCTCTTTTCAAAAGCTCTTTGAGAAATGATCCCTCCCCACCCCCACCACCCTATCGCAAAAACATTAAACGGGGTAGGTTGGGGGTATATTTTTCTTTTAGAGTAAAAAAAGAGAAACAGAATCTTAAAAGTATTAAATGGGATAAGGTGAGAATAAATTTTTCTTTTTTGGAGGTTAAGATAAGCAGAATTCCTGTAAGGTTCAAAGTGTAAATGGGAAATCTGACGACTAGTGCAGGTAGCGAGTACTCTCTTTACCTCCGTGAAAAAAGTGACATGTACCTCATAAGCTCCCATTGTTCATCTCAATCCTTTTAAAATAGTAACTTTTTTGTTTTGTTTTTAAAGCCTTAAAAGAAAATACCCAAAACAACCAAACTCGTTGCCGTTGAGTTGATTCCAACTCATGGCCACCCGTTGTGTGTAGAGTAGAACTGCACTCCGTATGGTTTTCAAGGTTGTGACCTTTCAGAAGTAGATCACCAGGCCTATCTTCTGAGGTGCCTCTGGGTGGGTTCCAGCCGCCATCTTTTCCGTTAGTAGTTGACTGCTTACCCCTTTGCGCCACCCCGGGACTCCTTTTAAAGCCTTAATGGTGCTAAAAAGGGCAAAGTTTGAAGTTCTAGGAAGACCCTACAGTTGACTTTTTACTTACTTAAAGAACCAAACCCGTTACTGTCGAGTGGATTCCGACTCATAGCAACTCTATAGGACAGAGTAAAACTGCCCCATAGGGTTTCCAAGAAGCAGCTGGTGGATTTGAACTGACTACCTGTAGCTTTTAACCACTGCACCACTGGGGCTTTTTTACTTACATATTGTATGTTTAAAACCAATTGCCATGGAGTCAGTTCCGACACATAGCGACTCAATGGGATAGAGTAGAACTGCCCCATAGCATTTCCAAGGCTGTAGTCTTTACCGAAGCGGACTGCCACGTCTTTCTCCCTCGAAACCACTTCCGGATTCCAGCCGCTGACCTTTTGGTTAGCAGCCGAGCACTTAACTACTGCGCTACCGGGGCTCCCATATTATATATTAACTATTGTATTTCATACTCAGTGAAAAAGTTTACCCTTTTTTTTCTTTCAGCTAAGTCTATAGTTGTCTCTACTTTGGCACTATCCACTGTGTCAGCAGTACTTGATTGTTAGACTTTATACTGTTACACTCATGCAGATACGAGTTAACTCTGATTAAACATACTGATTTTGTTTCAGTTTTATCTATAGGTTTAAAAACAGTTATTTTGGGTCTATATGAGAGATGTTTTTCTTGTCTCTATTTTTTAAGAATTGGAACTATGGCAATTATCCATACTTACCTGTTTTATTTTATTTTATTTTAGCATGTGATTAGTATATAAACGGCCAGTGGAAAATCACTTAATAGAAAAAGCAACTTCATGGTGAGTCAGAAAACCAAACCAGTTGCCGTAGAGTCGATCCTGACTCATGGCGGCCCCATGTGTGGCAGAGTAGAACTGTGCTCCATAGGGTTTTAAAGGCTGTGACCTTTTGGAAGCAGATTGCCACGCCTGTTTCCCATAGTGCCTCTGGGTGGGGGGTCGAACTGCCAACTTTTTGGTTAGTAGTTGAGCATTTACGGTCAAGTGTTTTCACTGTTTATGCCATCCAGAGACTCCAGTATATAAATGGCCAGTGGAAGATCATTTACTAGAAAAAGGAACTTCATGGTAGAGGAACTAAAAATGTCCTTGGAAGCCTTTGTGTGGATCAGAACAGTTTGAAAAACTGACATTTGCTATGAAAAAGTGAGAGCCCTCAGGAATGTTTATTATGTTGAGTATAGAATCCACAACTTGATTACCAGTTTTGCTGCTGGTTTATCATGTAACCTTGGATGACTCATTTAAGCTCTTTTTTTCCTAGTTTCCTGTCTAATGTAGAGGTGACAATATTAGCCTAAAGAACTTCTGTAATTCACAAATAAACTAATTTCTGAATTTAGCTGATTATTGGATATTTTAAGAGTTTATTTTGTCTTGTATATAATTTATTTTGCCTAAAAAGTTATTTCAAATTGTATTCTATGGAAATGCACATTCCTCTGAAGTGCCACTTGAATTTCTTGAAGGAAGATTTCCTCAGGATAGCCTTGTCTTTGAGGTTGTACGCTAAACCTCTTTTAAAGGGAAGGATATTCTAAGTGTAAAAGCACATAAAGGGATTCCACATCCTCCAAAAAAAAATTAATGATAAAAAATGGGCTCTTTTTCTTTTTGAAGTTAAGATTTTAATTGTATTAAAATCTTACTATTTTTGTATCTTTCAAACTACTTATTAAACTGTTTGCCACAACAGATAGTTCAGTATGGCGATTATACTTTATCATAAACTTTGAACAGAAAATCAAGCATTTGGGAATAAGGAAGGATGTCCCCAACATTGGTTATGAGCATAAACTTTGGAGTCAGAGCTGGATTTGAATTCATCTTCTGCACTGTGACTTTGAGCCCATTTCTTCACTTATAAAGTGAAGATGCATAGGGTAGTCTGGAATATTACATGGGATAGTTTAAGAACTCAGTAAATGGAAACTATTATTACTCTTTGGGCTACTTTTCTCTTTATTAATATTAAAGGAGTTGGCACATAATCTTGGTAATCGAAATAGAAAGGAAGAATATTCACCTATAACTCTGCCACCTCGACAGATCAGATTGTTTTGATTTTTATATATTCTTCAGACTTTCACCTTAGGTATACATAATGTAAAAATGTAATTACATTTTTGCAAAAAGTCAAATTTAAAACATTGGTTTGTTAACTTCTGAGGGTTTTTTCTAACCATGTAGGTAGAACTTTCTGGTTCTGTCTTTATTGTGATCTGGTGAAGAAGCAGTAGAACTTCCCATTAGTACAGTTTCCACTTGCTTTCCCCATTCCAAAAACCAAAACCTTTAGTTGCAATTTTATTTAATAATTCAGATAATAATCATTAACCATTTTTGAGGACTTCTTTTGTGCCCGCATAGTGCTAATAAGTATTGTGCAGTATCTCATTTAACCCTCACAACACTTCTTTCATCTAGGTAGTGTTATCCTTCCCATTTTGTGGTTAAGAAAACCAAGGCATACAGAGAGAATCCACCAAGTCAAGTTCTGGAGCAACCATTCAAGAGTAGGCAATCTGGCTTTAGAGGACAGTGCTGTATTGGGTTTTATATTTTTAGATTCATGATATTGATGTTAGGTCATATATGTAAGCAGTAGTTGATCCTGAGGGTTGATTTACAACTTCTTCGTATAAAATTAACAGTATTTTTACTTTATAACTTGTTTGACCACCACCTTTTAACAGTATTTTTATGGGAAAATAATGAAGAATAGCAAAGTGTTTAGTCCCTTATTAGATGAGGCATTTGCCTATAGTTTTATTAGTTGTGGCAGTAAAAACATGATTTATATACAAGGTGAGTTATTGTGACTAAACTTTCCTTTTTTTTTAATTAGAGGTTCATCATTTGAAAAGTAAATTGAACACAGAGTTTATAGTGAAGGAAAAATAACTTCTTTTTTAATGCAGTGTTTCTTAAACTTTATAGTGAGCATCAGAATCACTGGTGAACCTGTTGAAACATGAATTCTGCATCAGACCCTCAGAGATTCTGGTGTAGCAAGTCTTGGGTGGTGCCCAAGAATTTTAAATTTCTAGGAACCTCCCAGGTCATGCGTATGATTCCTGGCTAATGAATTTAGTAAGGAAAAAAATATTAGCAGTTGTTATCCAGATTGTTGACTTGCTAATGATACCCCAGTAGCAATGAGCACTCAGATCTTGGTTTTTAAACATTATTTTCTGATAAGAGAACCAGGAATTCTAGGGGAGGTAGTTGATTCCAGGGCTGGGGCAGGGAAAATACAAGATGAGCCTTTGAGTAACAAAATGAATAATAGTATTGAATTTTAACTTATCAGGTAAAATAAATATCCATAAGTCCATACTGATATAATAGAATAAATAAACAAATGGGGTAGAAGGAACAACTCTTCCTTATAAAAGTCCAGTTAATAAAGAGGGAAATAGAAAATCACCATTAGGCAAACAGCAGAGTAGTAATTATTATAGACAAAATTCCCCTATGGTGACAGTGGGTAAAACAGGATATTTGCATAGTCTTAAAGTATCTTCACCAAGACAATTATTAACTACAAGGCAAAATAGTAACTTGGTGGTGGAGATAACCACGTTAACCAGTGATTAAGGTTAACATTACCAGTAATAAGATGTAGGGATATCATGAACCCCAGGATATGAGGCGGTGAGAAGGACACAACATCACTTTTGTGGTATTATTCTTATAAAAAATGTATAACCTCTTTTAATCGTCAGAAAACATTAGACACACCCAAATTCAGGGATTTTCTACAAAGTACTGGACCAGTACTGTTCGAAAGTGTCGCGGTCACAAAAGACAAGGAAAGATTGAGGAACTGTCACAGATTGGACGAGACTAAGGAGCAATATTAACTAAATGCAATATGTGATCCTGGATTGGATCTTGGAACAGAAAAAGGACTTTAGTGGAAAAACTGGTTAAATTTCAGTATGTCTGTAGTTACTGAATTGTACAAAAGTTAACTTCCTGGTTTTGGTCATTGTACTTTAGTTATATAAGATGTTGACTTTAGGGGAAGCTGGACAAAGGGTATAAGGGAACTCTGCACTATTTTTGCAACTTTTCTGTAAGTCTAAAACTAGTTTAAAATAAAAAGTTTGATGAAAATGTATTAGTTTGAAGTAGATACTAAATGTAGTTAGGGGAGTTGAGCTAAAAATCGGTTATGCCGGCCACTATCTGAAATCTTAGCACACTCTTAGATTCTTTGTGCATTGCTTTTTGCCTTTACGTGGTCAGTCTAAACCCGAGGTACATGTCAAGGGAGTTGGAAGGGGTAAGGAGAAGGGTAGGTAGGAAAAGGAAGACTTTCTGAACTCAGAAAATAAAATACAGTATGTGAACTACTCTAGGTATTCAGTTCATATGTAAAAAAAAGTTTCCTAAGGAATTAATTGGAGTGATTTTTGTTTCAAGTTTAGTACTTTTTCAAACTTCTTCCCTTTCCGAAATCTGGAATCAATCACTAATTAGTTAGTGAAAATACTGGGAAATGGATGGAAAAATTGTTAGAATAATAATACTGGGATATTATGACAATGGATATGGGGCAGAGGAATGGGCAAAATTTAGAAATTTAGTATTAAACACACAAAAAATAGCCATTACAGATACAGAAATACCTAAGCTTGGCACCAGGCATCCCTGTTGAAAGCTGCATGTTAACCTTGAAGGTTTGGCTGCTGGTGTTTTAAATTGAAACTGTAAACAATTTGAACCATGGACTTTTGATCCATTAGGGCAAGGTAGACCAAACTGTACCAATAAATTTCTAAGCCTGTTGTCCTCCTTTATGGTGCTCCCCCCTCCCCCACAACAAGCACACCTAGTACCCAGATCTTGGTTTCTAAATATCATTCTCCAATAAAAGAAACCAGGGCTCCTTGGGGGAATCGGTTGATTCTAGGGCTGGAGCAGGGAAAATACATGATGAGCCTGGAGCACATAGTAGTGTCAGAAAGCAAATGCTCAGAAAAACAAAATCATGGGAGCATATCAAAAGGATACAGGAGCCAACCTGAAAGAGTTCCCAATGGTCATGGAACAGTTTGAGCAATAAAATAAACAACATAGTATTAGAGTACAACCCAAAGTATAAAATAAGTGTTTACAAGTTGAAAAAAAATTTTTTTAACATGTAGCTGAAGATGATTCAGGACTCCGTGAAACGTATCTATCCTGGATCTTTTTGTATGAGGGGTGGTTTTTCCTACCCCAATATATACACACAGTTGTAGAGCCTCTGGAATTTGGCAAACAGCTTGTGCAGTGGATTTTCTAAAGTTTACAATCACTGCTTCAGAACAGCATTATCTTATAAGAGTTAATTAAGAATGCAGGCTCTGGAACCAGTCTGCCTGGATTCAAATTCTGGCTCCTCTACAGCTACCTGTGTAGCCTCGGGCAAATTGCGTAACCTGTTTCCTTAACCATAAAATGGGGATAGTAATCCCTGTTCCGATTTTTTAAGGATTAAATGAGTTAATACATGTGAAGTGCTTAGGAAGAAAGTGGCACTCAGTAAATGTTAGCTGTTGTTATTACAGAGTTATTATCTCAGAGACAAAGGGTTGCTGTATACTGTTGAAGACTTGATCAAGTGAGGTTCTTTGGGCTGCATCTTGCCTGGGAGAAGGGTGCCTTTTTCTAATTTCCACAAAGGCATCATATGAAATAGCAACATTCCTGCACACAGATGCATTCCTTCCTAACCATGGCTGGTTATCACTGGCAGTGAATTGTTGGTTCTGTTTCGTTAGAAAAGCACCTACTAAATTTAGCTATTCATCCTATTCTCCCGTCTCCTCTGAGTGAGGAGAATAGGAGGCTGCCTGCTCTTTTTTCAAGATAAACTCTCTTTTCCATACCAGCATTAGGTAGGCCTCTTTTATTTTTGTGAAAAAGGTAGCTGCTTACAATTTCATGAGAAGAACCAAGTTCCGTATCCTTTTGTAGAGCTCTTCTTTATCCCACTATATCAGTCATCCTCTTTGCCTCTGAGCAAAGTAACTGTTCCTGCTCTTCTGGTCCACACTGTGAAAATTTGGTTTTGCCTTAATCTTTCTTTATCCCCACTGCTGTTTCCATGCTACTTCTTTTTTTTTTTTTTTCTTTCATTATTTAGTTATTTTTATTGTGGTAAGTATATAAGTAACAAAACATTTGCCATGTCAACAATCTTCAGTTGTTTTTTTAAATTATAAAATATTGAATACAGATTATGTAAACTATTAGGATATATGATACAGTGAACATTCTTGTACCTCCATCCAGTTAAAGAAAAAATGATTAAGATTATCGTTGACATGTTCTGTATGTCCTTCCTGATGCCATCCCCTTCCCGCTCTCATCAAAGGTAATAATTATCCTGGTTTTTGTGCTTGTCTTTCTTTTCTTTTTAGTTTTATTTCATATTTATCCCTAAACAATATATTATTTAACTTTACAAGCTTTTGAAACTGTACATGCATAGAAACTTTATGTAAGAGTGTATGTGTAAAACCTTCTGCTACCTTTTTTTTTTTTTGGTTCAACGTCATATTTTTGAGTTTCATCTATGTTTTTATGTATAGTATCCCATTGTATCTCTATGCCACATATTTATCCATTGTGTTTGCAGATTTTGACTGGTTTTTTTTTTTTTTTTTTTGTATTAATGATAATTTTTTTTTTTTTTTTTTTTGGCTATTACACGCAGTGCTACCGCAAATATTTTTGTTTTTAGATGCACATGTGCAAGTTTCTCTAGAGTGTATAATGAAGAGTAGAATTGCTGAGTTTTAGGAAATGCACATCTTCAGCTTTACAAGATAATGCCAAATTAATTCCAAAAGTAGTTGTACTAATTTCCACTCCTATCATGAGGGTAGCAAATGGTGGTACATGTTTACTAGAAAAAGTAAAGCAAGGTGGGGGAGGTGTTATCTCACTGCTCTTAAAGCCATATAAACCTGAGGGGATGAGGAATAAGGGATGACCATGAAGTCCTGCGCTTCATATGGTGATTGACATAAATAGAGATACAGAGTATGATGAGACTGGTTGTCATGGTTTCAGGCAGAGAATAGTAGTGAAGCTGTGAATTTTGGGAGGAGGGAGATAGGGAGTCTTTTCAGGAGCATTTCTGGGGCCCCCTCAATAGCAGTAAGGCTAAGAAATGAGTGAGAAAGCTGGTAATGATTGGTATTACTGTGAGCATTTAGTCTCAGACCTCCTCTTGACTCCTGCTCATGGTGGTTTGGAGGACTAGGGGAGGGGTGGTCTTGTCTGGAAAATATGGAACAAATCTTTTAATTTCAGGAATACTTGGAGCTCTGGTGCTTGCTTGACTTTCGACGTTGGAGGAGTGAAAGTTGGGGAAAGTGTGAACTTATTCTGAGCTCTTGGAGCTTTGGGGCTTCCTCTAGACTCCTGTCAATGGAGATGAGACCTGGGAGGGGTGTTTTTGGCAAGAGCATATATAGCGCCCCTTGTCAGATTTGTTAATTTTTGCCAGTCTGGTGGATGTGAAATGTTATCTAGTTGTGGTTTCACCTTCAAAATCCAAAATTCTTTATATTTTTAATGTCAGGCTTAGTCCCGTAATTTTACTCCTGATTTCTTTGTTTTATGAGCTCCAAGATTGTATGGGTTTTATTCATTGTCTGTATGTACCATGACTGAACACCCAAGATTTCTCAATTCAACAACTGAAACCTTTACCCTGATGGCTGTTGACAACAAGAGCCTCAGGGGAATCTGTTATGCCCTATGTCATCACCAAGTATGAAATCATTGAGCCAGGAACCCTACCTTCTGTCCACTCTGCCTGAGGAGCTGAATTGGTAGCCTTCATCCATGCATTATTACCTGACCTCAAAAAACCCATCAATGTCTACACCGACTCTCTATTTCACCTTATCTGAGGCTCCCATCAAAATTTGGGCCCCATATTGTGGTACTGTCAGAAACTCTTTTAAAAACTTTTAATTTTAAAATCTCAGAATCACAGAGCCATTACTCATAGTCTGTAATGAAAGTGCTTTGGCTGACCACAACTAAGACTGTAACTCCCTCTGCTTTTCAGGCTAAATCTTTTTTGTTGTTGTTCAGGTCAAATCTTTATATAGTTTTAACAACACCCATGCCCTTCCTGATGTTCTTTAGCACTCTCACAGGATCAAGCCCCAAATTCACAAAAGGAAAAAGAACACTGGAGAAAGGGTATATACGTTGTATTCTGACTATCTGTGGCACTCCGTAGGTAGCCATCTAGTATTCCATACATCGTATTATCCCACCTTACTTACATGTTACATTCAGTGTCATGGAGGAATACAGAGATGATGATCACATCTACAAATTCCAGTTAATTTAGTAGAGTAGCTCAGGACTGTTCACCTTACTTGCCTTCTCAAACTTTCGTTATTGAGGCAATGAGACCTGCCCTATTTGGTTTCTTCATCCTTCAAAAGGATTTCATCTAACTTCCTTTGGTTAGCTATTAAGAATATTATCTAGTAATTTTGTAAGCTTTTTAACTGGATGGATTGGAGCTTATTTTTGAAAGGCGGTCACCATTATTAAGATACACTGTATTGACATCTTCCCATGCTGGGAATACTACATATAATACCTATTTCACAGAAGAGGTAATAAGGAATCTCAAAGTTTTACCAGATTAAACATCATTTACGCAGACATTAGTATTCCCAAAGTATGAAAAGCAGTGGAAAAAAAGAATATAGTCATAAAGAAAATTAAGCTAGTGCTAGTATAAATCTTAAATGAACTAAAACCCTTACTAATGCCCAAATAAGCATAAGAATAACTCCCAACAGATAAATTGATTTGAACCCATATTAAATTTTCATGAGGAAACCCATGAGACAATTCTCATCCACCTTGACTGAGCCAAATAAATCCCAAATGCGTGTTTCTAATAATAATATTGTGAGCAACTATAAAGCCCATATGAGTCGTCTGGTCTGAAGTTTTATCATTTACAGGTGTGTGAAGCATACTCAGACTCTCCAACCAACTCACCATCAGCTGCTTCCTTGTGACTGGGTCCTGATTAAGGTCCTCTCAAGAAAAACGTCATTGGATCCACACTCAGTAGGACTCTACCAGGCTTTCCTGACCTTCCTACATTGCTAAAGTGCCAGCGCCTTAAGATTCGGGTACAAGTATTACAACGGCAAGAGTGCCAGCACCAACAAAAGACCCACTGGACCTGTCAGTTCCTCTGTTTCACCAAGTAGATATATTAACCTTACCAACAAAGCAGAGTAAGCCGAGTGCCTCTGTGTGACACCACCACCAACTGATAACGTGCAACAAAAACTAATTCATACTAGAGCCCTGTCTTTTCTTGAGAAGCTGGGATTTGAAGGATATACTCTGAGATCTGTGCTGCTTGTAAGTGACTGATAACATTATTGACTGCATCGGGTCCCTGAGTTCAGAGACTTGAGTTACAATTGAGTGAAAAATAGACGACGAAATCAAAGAATTGCATAGAGCTGCAAGCCGAATTTAATTCTCTCCCAAGTTAATGTGGGTTGGACTGAGAAATTGCTAAACCAAACCTGTAATAGGACTGGTTGTTTGGGTGTCTCTCTTTGCCATTGTTGCCTCTTGCTGTTACATTGCTTCCTCTGTGTTGTCTTTCTAGGCCCAGATGTTCTCAGATAATTCACATTGCCCTGACTGTGGACAACAGTGGTTCCCTAGTTTAGAACTAGGCCATTGGTTGTACCAGACCGAACTTGTTGAAAATGAATGTTACCAAGTCTTCTTAGACCGTATTAACAGAGCTGATTATTGCCCTGAGTGTTATCCTGATAATCCTACTAATAGAAGCCTTGTTCTTCCTTGGTCTTTCCCACTTGAGTGGGCTCCCCAAAATCTCACCAGGTGGACCTTTGAAAAAGCTTGCCACCCGTTTCTTCTGGGTCCACCCCTGGTTAGAAAAAGAATACATGAATCCAGAGTAGCAGGTTTTAACCCTGCATTACAGTTAGTCTTGACCAGCACAGACAAAACCTTAAACAAAAAACTTGACCAAAGCAAATAACTTCATAAATAATCAAAGTCATGGAGACTGTAGAGGGTTTTGTGCTAGTACCCCAAGGGAGATGGAAAAATAACTCATTTCTGAATATGACCCGCACTGTTACTACTTTGGATCTGCTTCCGTGGCGTAGGCATATTTAGTTCAGCATGAATTAAGTCAGTATTCCAGCCAGACTGTTTATCTAGAACCAAACTAATACTGCTCCCTATATATGATGTTTTGGAACTAGCCTACCCCCTCCTAAAGGTTCCACAGCCTAATTATTGACATGTGACAAGTTAGTTCTAGAGGAGAGGCTCCATAGAGGTATTTCTAACTTTTGTGGGAGAGCATCCTCACGTAGCTGGATCTTAGACTATTTAAGTAAAACAACTAGACATTTTACACTTTAATAAGAAGCTACGTTCTAAATTCAGCATATATTGATCGGTGATGATGATGATATATATGTACACACATACACACACCATTTATTCATGTATTCCCTGTATTCATCATTGTCTCTGTTTGGCCCATCTTCACTGTGCCTGTGACATTGATTACTGGTCATTGTCAGAGACGTCACATTCTATCAGGCAACACCTACACAGTTTACACAAAAACATGCAGAAACTTACTTGGCTCTTCATAAGCAAAGACTATCCTGTCTTTGCGGTGACTAGACTTACATTACCCTCCCCCTGGAAGGGAAAAGTACCTGTACTCTAAAATATGTCATAGGAAGAGTCCTCAGGCCTATGTATATATATATTATGAACAGTCTAGGGGAACCATCTGTCTTAGAACTAAGAGGGTCTTGCTAGACTTTGGCCACTTTCTGGCCTTCATTTGTTAATGAGAATCATGGAACTAGAATGGGGGTTAAGCAAATTAGAAAAGGCTATTGAAAACATCTCATAGGTCACTGAACAGTTTAAAAAGTAAATGGTTAGGTAACAGCTCAACAATGTTATCAAGGACCCAGGTTCTTTTCTCTTCTTTTCCTCTGGGATCCTTATCATGTTGGCTTTTTTTTGTTTTTCTCATGAGTATAATAATATGGCTTGTTGCTGCTTCAGACATTTCAATCCCAATGAATGGCTGGAATTAGGGGGCAAAAGGCTTTCTCCTTTCAAGTGTTTTGTCCCTGTATTTGGGAAGAAAATCTCAAAATCCCTAGCAGATTTCTTTGTACATCTCATTAGTCAGTACTGGTTTACAAGGGAGCCTGGGAAAGCCTGGCAGAAGGGGGCGCGGGGTTAACATTGCCTGCGTAGGGCATATTGCCTCTCATAATAAAACCAGAAGATAGAAGTGGGGAATGAATGGCTATTGGTATGCGACAAATCATACCTGGCACATGTTGTGAAACCTAAGTTATCTGTTAGTCTGTATGAAGAATGTACCCTATAGATCCTTCCTATATCTACTTTATCATGGTGGAGGTTCTCTCTTGTTATATTGCTGAATAAACTGTATGGACTACTAAATTGAGTGAAGACTAGTTAGTTTATCGTTGATCCTTGGTTAAGAATTCTTTCAGCAGCCTAAAGCTCTTCCTAAAAAATTAAAATTTACTTTGAAATAGTGCGTTTGAGGATGGTATTATGAACAATATTCTCGTCCCCTTAAAATTCTCAGGTATTAAAGAATGCTTGTCCTACAGGGACATATTATTACTAAGAAACACTTTGTGTGTGTGACATTTTAAATATCAGCAAAATCAATGAAAGGTTTTTCGTTTTTGTTTTAACCATTCTCTCTCTTAAATTATAAAGACAAATGAGGAAGGATCTACACCAAATTTAATATGCCTAAGAAATACCGGGGAGGGATTATTAAAAATGTAAATTTCTTGGTCTGCCATTGAAGTTTTGATTCCTTAGGCTGCTCATGGGGCCCAGAAATCTGCATTTTATAATAGCACATCTGGAGAGTCTTACAGGAGGTGGTCTATGGACTATATTGTCAGAAACACAACAGTAGCACATCCAGGCTGTTTAATTATCTAGCTTCAAAAAGGATGTGTGCTGAGTATTCATAACACTGCAAGGTAGTAATAGTTATTGTACTTTACTTTGCTAATGACAAAAAGATTCGTATTGTCAAACTAAAGGTCACTGTTGATATTTCAGGTTATAACTCAAATTTTTTTCCATTAAAATAAACAGGACTGTTACATAGCTGTCCTCACAAACCATTCTGTTTGGTGTCATAAGCTGTGTGAGTATATGGGCATGATAAATTAAAATATTAATTTTTATATTCACAAGGGTACTTCACCTTCAGACATCATTACATTATCACATACCTGTTATATCATCAGCTTTCAGAAATCAGCATCGTGTGGTAGAGCTCATAAAATTGAGCAAGGAAGAACGTTTAGGGAGCTTTGTAGCTTTTCAGCTTAGGTTTTTTTAGTATGACTTCACTTGGTTTAAAATATTGCAGATTATTCTAGAATAGTGCACTTCATAGTTGGTATGAATAATGAATTTTATTGAAATACGAGTATTTTGCTAAAATTAAATTTACTGGCAAGTGACTTGGGGGATTATCCAGCACTTTAGATTGTCTGAGCCATATTAGTCTCTACTTCCATAGTGTGGCCATTTCTACAATGACCTTTATGACTAATACCTGTTATTTTTTGGAGAGCTGGGAGTGAAAGGATTAATGGAACCATGCTGGGGCAAACTGTGAAGAAAATACATACACCAAAGAGGTGGCTGTCATGGGATGTGACTGGATTAAGATTCATCTCTAAGTTATAGGAGAAGGAAGCCCAGGCAGGCAGGCAGACAAAAAAGAATTACGTGACATCCAAAGAGTATGTGCCAATCAATATGTTACAGCTATCCATAAAAGTGAGGTTAGCCATACCCATTCCATCTCCCCAGTCTCCCCGGCGGCCCTTGAGTCTCCATGGAATCTTGGAAACACAGCTTGAAAACTGCTAGTTACAGAGGAAAAATAATGGTCTTAAAGTCAGCTGACCTAGGTTTGTGTCCCAGTTCTGACACTATTAAATGACCTTGGGCATTTTAACCTCTGTATCAGTTTCTTCATTTGTGAAACCTACCTCATACAGTTGTGGGGTTTGAATGGGATAACATATACCAAGCGTATGGCACATGGTAAGTCTTTAGGAGTGGAAACGGTACAGGGGAACAAGGCAGAACTAGAACTAGGGAATAAGTTTTAGAACAAGGAATAAAAGCCAATTGCTGCATTACCGAAAACTTAAATCCTTCAGATGAAGGACTGGATTGGTTTTGGGACTGGGGTTGAGCTTGTCGTTGCTAGTCAGATGGTCTTAGGTATAAAAATTGAGAGATCTGGAGGGGTGGATGACCCAAGGCAGATCCTTGTCACATTTTTTGGCTAATTTATAATCATAATCGTAAAACAGTTACATCTATTATATCACCTGAGAATTTCCACAAAACTGAAATAGGCAGATTCAGAAAAGTTGAAGGATCTGTGCATGCACCCAGGTCATATGTGTTAGAGTCACAATTCGAGCCTAGATTCAAGCACTCCAGACTTACGGGGCTTTGTAGTATGTTTATTGTAATTATGAATGTTAAGTTAAATAGACTGCCTGCACTCAAATCCTGACTTTGCCACTTACTAGTTGTATATTCTTGGGAAAGATTCTTAATCTATCTATGTCTGTTTCCTCATCTGTAAAACAGTAGGAATATTAGTAGTCCATACCTCGTAGATTGTTGTGAGAATTCAATGAGTTAATACATAAAGAGCTTTGAACGCTGCTTGGCCCAGAGAAGGCATTCAATAAATTTTTATTGTTGTGTATGTTCTATGTGTTTTTTGTCTCCAAAGCATGCTTGCATATCATTTAAGGGCTACAATATCTTTTTATCCCTAGAGCCTAAAATGGCATCATAGACTAAAATAAAAGATTGTTTAAAAAAAAAAAAAAAAGACAAACTGACTTATTGAATCCTGACTACCATACATTTATCATGATGGCTTTTTTATATCTAAACTACCATCCTGGAATGACTGATTCTCTTTTGTTTTCTTCTTAGCTGCTAAACTAATTTCCTCTCTTCCTTTTTTTTTTTTTTTTAATCTTAGTGTTGCAGATCCTAGTGCTTCCTGTTACCTGTCCCTTCTCTCTTCGCCTACCCACTTCCTTCTCCTTGGTCCGCAGGGCAAGACTACAGGTTTTCAGGATGGTGTGGAGGGTTGGAAAGTGGGTGAAATCCTACTGCTCTCTCAGCCCCAATTTTGTTCCGGCAGTCAGCTTTTCCTTGTCCTAGCTCCTCCAGCTGGCGGAAGTCTGCCTCTGTAGTATATGTCCGTTGTGTGTGAGCTGAAAGAGTTACCATTATAAGCCTTTTCCTTTTGATACTTTTTCCTAAAGAAGCTAGTGTTTTTTATTCATTTTAAAAGAAATTATAAACTACATCAAACATACAGAAAATTGCAGACTAGTATAACAAATACATACGTGCCCAGATGTAAAATAAAAACATATTAACATTTTGTCACATTTACCTCAGTTCTTTTTTTTTTTTTTTTTAAAGAAACTTTATAGATACAGTTGAAACCCATTCTTGTTCCTTCCCATCCTTTTCTTTTCTCTCCCTCCCCAGGGGTAAAGCGCTAAATGGAAGTTGATGTGTATCCTTTCCATGCATGTGTTTGCTTTTTATTATATCTTTATATATATGTAAACAATGTACCAAGGTGATAAATTGACAGTTTCAAAAATGTATTACTTAGTAACACACATACATATGCATAAACATGTAATATGCATCGATTTGTAGAGTTACCCTTAATTTTCTCAAGTTTGTGTATTGGAGTCTGCTAAACTTGATTGTGTGACTGCAGTGCAAAGGCTATTTGGTGTACCAGATGAACATCCATCAGGTTGTAAAAAAGTTCACCATCAGTACAGTGAGATGGAGCAGAAAGAGTACATCTTAAAAGACAGAGCACAGGACAGCCACGTGCAGAGGAAGCAGCGAGGGCAAATTTGTGTTCCTCTTTAGAGAAGTCCCGGGAAATTGAAGTTGAGCGAGGCATCCCGCCACTTACCATCTGGTACATGTTCCATAAATGGAGAATAAAACCTTACAGGATCGTTTCAAGCTCTGATGAAGACAGTTAAAGCAATATACATTTTGCTACTATTTTCAGGATCACAGAGAAGGAGGTGACTGCTGGTCGTGAAACTACATTTTTATTTAAGTGGAAAAATGAACCACCATAATGTTCTCATATGGAGGGCACTGAAAATCAGTATTTCACAACTGAACTTGTAAGAAATTCGCTAAAAGTAAATATCTTCTGTGCTAAATGAAGCACATGTGTCTTCATTAGTTCTTTTTTGCAAAAAAAAAAAATCGTAGACACCATTTTTTGGACATGCTAATGAATGGTTTTTCCTACAGCTATAAAGTCTCCATCAACCCCATTTTCCATCAGGATGAGACTCTGCTTCACTTCCATTATACAGTCCACAGGTTCCTGATAAATACATTTCCTAATGTGGGTTGGACACACTGTTCAAAAGATTGTCCTGCTTCTGGAACAGTGGCTTCCAGATCTCCTGGATACCCCATCATGTGACTTCTTGCAGTCTTGAAGAAATGCCATTTCAACTATGAACAGTGATGCATGTTATAAAGGTCTGAATGAAACAGGCTACAGGATTGATGTGTGCTTTGTGAACAGGAAAAGTACATACTGAACATCTGTAAGGTTATAGAAATATCTGTGATGATTCCTTTGCAGATTGTTTTTTGGCTACAACTTAGTTATAGCATAATACATTTTTAAAAATATTCAGTGATATTTGAAATAAAGTTTATTGAATGAATAAATACATGATAAATGTACAGATTGTAAATGTGATGATGAGTAACCACCACTTCAATGAACATCAATAAAGATATGAGATAAAACATTTTCATTACCCCAAAAGGGTTTCTTTCCCCTTAGTGACTTCTGATCTGTTTTCTGTCACCATAGGTTAGTTTTACTTGTTCTAGAACTTTATACCAATGGAATCATTTGGCATATACTCTTATGTCTGGCTTCTTTCATTCATATTTTTTAGATTCATCCATGTTGTGGCCTGTATCAGTAGTTGGTTCATTTTTATTCCATTGTTCAATTCTTTTTCAATCACTCCATATAGTATTATTTTTAAAATTTCATATAAAGGCTATAATACTGTACTTTTATAACTTCTTTTTGAGATTTAGCCATATCGATACATGTATATCTATTCATTTTAATTGCTACCTATAATACTTCGTTTGCTAAGAATACGCCACTTTTTTTTTTAATCCACTTCCTTATTGATGGACATTTAAGCTATTTTCTAATTTCTCATCATTTTAAACAATGCTGCAGCAGACATCCTTATACACGTCTCCTTAGGCACATGAGCAAAAGTTTCTCTAGGATATATATCTAAAAATGGAATTGCTGATTTGTAGAACATGTGTATCTTCAGCTTTACTAGATAACTGCCATATTGCTGCCCAAAGTTGTAGCAACAGTTTACCTCATTGTCAGTAGGATTTGTGAGCTCTCTTTCCAAATCCTCACCAACACTTGGTAATGCCTGACTTTTAAATTTTTTTTTTTTTAAATATTGTACTTCAGGTGAAGGCTTACAGAACAAATAGTTTCTCATGAAACAGTAGTACACATGTTGTTTTATGACATTGGTTAACAACCCACAACATATTAACCCTCTAACTTCTCAACCTTTTTTTTTTTTGGTGAAAATACCAATAGCCAAAGATACACCATTTCAAAAATTTTTACATGCACACTTCAGTGACATTGACTACGCTCTTCGAATTGTTCTGTTCTCACTTAAGATGAAGGCTTACAGAACAAAATAGTTTCTCATTTAACAGTTACTACAAATGTTGCCCTATGACAATGGTTAACAATCTCACAACACATCAACAATATCCTTAATTAACCTTGGGTTCCCTATCACCAGCTTCCTTGTCCCCTTCTGCCTTCTGGCCCTTGTCACTGGACTCCTGTACCTCGTTAGACTCATTTGGTTTTACAGGGTTCTGACTTTTAAATTTTTGCCAAACTGATGGTTGAGAAATAGTATCTCATTTTAATTTGCATTTCTCTGACAACTTGTCTCACATATTCATTAGACTTCATTGAACTGCTTATTTGTCTCTTTTGCCCACTTTTTCATAGACTTATTTTTCTTTTACAGATTCATGGGAGTTATTTATGTATTCTGGATATTAATCCCTTGCTGGTTATATGTGTTGCAGATATTTTTCTAGTCAATTACTTCTCTTTTAGATTTTGATAACTTGTGTAGAAATTTTTAAATTTCAGTGCCATCAAATTTGTCAAATTTTCCTTTATGGTTTGTGCATTTTGTATCTTGTGTAAGAAGCCCTGAAGGTTATAAGTATATTCTGTATTTTCTCTTGAAAGTTTTCATGTTTTGTCTTTACATTTAGGTCTTTAATCAAATTGATTTGTGTGATATAGGAGTTAGAAATCTGTTTTTTCCCCAGTTTGGATTGTCAGTTGTCCCAGAACTATATATTTAGAAATCCATTCTTTTCCTTTTGTTACTTACCAATTTCCTTTACATATGTATGGTTATGTTTTTTGGTTCCCTATTCTGTATATATATTCCTACAGCAATACCCCATTGTTTTTATTACTGTAAGTTTGTATTAAGTCTTAATATCTGGTAAAGTTATCCCTCCTCCTTCTTCACAATTGTCTTGACTGTTCTTGGCCCTTTGTTATTCCTTGTAAATTTTAGGATCAGCTTGTCCATTCCATAAGAAACAACAATAAAAAAACTCTTGAATTTTGTTTCAGATCACATTGAATTTATAGGTTTATTTGGAGAGAATTGACACTTAATGGTTTTATGTCTTACTTTGTATAACCATGATGTATCTTTATACCCACTCCTCACATAAACATGGTTAGGTTCCAAAGACTAGGTCATTATGCAACAATCAGCATCATGTGAAAATGGAAGATGACTACATCACATCACAAAATGGAGGTTGACTACATCATTACATAACTGCCAAGGTGCATCATTACATAACAGCCAAACCACTGAGAATCATGGCCCGGTTAAATTGATTCATAACCTTAACCTTCACAGCCAGCATTACTCTTGCCTCACATCTTAGCATTCGTTACTACCAGATGTACATTGTTAATGCACAGAATAAATTTTTTACTATTGTCATATATATGAAATGTCAGATAACGAGACAGTCAATAAGTGAGGAGTAGGTGTATTTAGGTCTCTTTATGTTCTATAAAGTTTCATACTTTTCTCTTTAAAGTTCTTTTTTAAACAGCTTTATTGGGGTATTTATATACCATAAAATTTACCTCTCTTGCTTATCTGTTACATATCTGTTTGTAGGTACCTTACAGTTTTTATTACTAGGTACCTTATTGTTAGTGTGAATAGTCTAAAAATTTTGTCACTGGTGCTTAGGAAACATTTTACCCATTGTTTTTGACTGGCAGGAAAAAAAATGTAAGAAATCTGAAAGGGATAGAGACTTATTTTCTATCATGAGCCAAGATGGGATATGATGGCAATGAAAATAAAAGCTAGAAGCCCAATCCCAGGAGCTTGACGAAGACAAAAGGGGCAACAAGGAATCCTCCAGGTTTGGGACATGTTCCTAGCAGAAGGAAGGCCAGGCCCTAACTCTTCCCTTTCCTCCTAGTTTATATATGGTATCACTGTTCATTCATACATTCATTCATTCATTCATATACTTCTAAAATATAGAGCTTTTATTATACACTAGTGGAATTAAAAATTTTAATTTGTAAAGTTAAATTTTACAGAATGCTGTGAGAAAAGCACTAAGAAAATGGATAGCCTCTCACTAGGCTATCAAAAAATGTAATACTTTACAAAGCTCTTCCACATATTTTAGTATTTAGTCCTCACAGCGATCCTTAATCTCAGTTTTACAAATAATGAAGGTTATGTAATTTACTGATAAATTTGGTTAGTATTGCTTTTGACAATAAGATTTGACTATACAATAATAAGATTTTTAAAAATTTGTTTTATTTTTTGTTGAAAATACACACAGCAGAACGTACACCAACAGTTTCTACGTGTACAATTCAGTGACATTGGTTACATTCTTCAAGTTGTGCAACCATTCTCACTCTCCTTTTCCAAATTGTTCCTCCTCCATTAACATAAACTCACTGCCCCTAAGCTTCTTACCTAACCTTTCGAGTTGCTGTTGTCAGTTGGAATATGATTAATTTTTTTATGGCTTGTATATTGTCTCTGATTTTTATTCCTTCTGTATAGTTCATAATAATTTTTACATTAGTATTCTTTGGGCGTTACATAAAAAGGCATTGCATAAGGGATATTTGTCTCCATATTTTACAAAAGAATGCTATGAGAAACACTAAGAAGGCAGTGACGTAACTCCAAATATGTATTTAAAAGTCATTCTTTTCCTTATACTGTAAGGCAGCCATCTTAGTTTGTAGGTAGCAGCAGTGCGTTGTTAATGATTAATGGTAAATGAAAGTTTCTGATAGGTAGACCATGAGAAAATTACATGGGACAGAAATTGAAGACATAAGAGCAATCTGCAGTTGTTAACCTCAGCAATGACTTACATTTCTACTCTTAGAAATATTTTTTATTTCAATTTCAAAGATGTTCTCCTTAAGATTCTGGTCACTTGGTCTCATTTTACACATTTAAACCATACTAGAATGTATTAGATTATGGCATCTATGTAAGGTTAATAGCCTGGAGGTTTTTTCAGTTTGTAGTCTAGGATTTGGAATATGATCCTCATGAAAGCATTTTTTCTTGACTAGAAAAATTACAGAGAGGAACTATTACTCAAAACTAAACAGATTTAATAGAGTTGAAACTGACATTTTTACCTTAAATGTATAACAAGTCTTTTAATTTTTTGCATTTTATTTTAGTCACCATATATATGCCTTATTTCCTGGGTCCATGGGAAGCATGAATCTATTGTAATCTGGGACAAGAAGAAAACAAGACTTCTTCTCAAGGAACACCAGACACTAACAAAAAGTATCCCAAGCTTTGAAGGAGGCAGAATACAAACATGACCGATAGTGGACTTAGTGATCCTCAAAAGGGTAAGACTAGTTTATACATCACTGAGATTTGTGCTGTAGGAAACAAGGGTTGTAATGAGAGAAAATCTCTAATGACTAAAACTTCAAGTTTTAAGTAGAAAAGAAGCTAATTCAATTAATGTAATTTTGATTAATTTGTTTTATGACTATTCTTTTTTTTTTATATTTACTGAATTTTATCATAATATCAGACCCTAATCATAATATGGAAACCCTGGTGGCATAGTGGTTAAGAGCTACAGCTGCTAACCGAAAGGTTGGTAGTTCGAAGCCACCAGGCACTCCTTGGAAACCCCACGGGGCAGTTCTACTCTGTCCTATAGGGTCGCTATGAGTCAGAATCAACTCGACAGCAACGGGTTTGGTGTTTTAATCATAATATAAGGAATATAAATGTTTTAGAGACTCCAATAGCAGGAGCCTATGGTTATGAAAACTACAGGGCATCTTAAAAAAGATGGTAGACAAATCTTTAGAGCTCTATTTATAATATTAAGAAAAGTGTGGTGTGCTATATTTAGAGGGGCTCTTTGGATTATAGAGGATAAATTTTAAATTATTCTTTCTACTTGCGTGTATAAGATATGAAATAGATTTTTCAGAAGAGAAAGAGGCTATGTTTACTTTAAATCTTATATTATGGAAATTTTTAAATATACAAAAGTAGAACAGTATACTTTGCTGGTGAGTCGGAATCGACTTGAAGGCAATGGGTTTAGAACAGTATAATGAACCCCTAACGTACCCAACATCCCACTTAAACTATTATCAACATAAGGACCATCTTGTTGCTTGCCCTAGATTATTTTAATGTAAATCCCAGACATTATGTTATGTTATCTGTAAATAATTTACGTCTCTTAAAGATTTAAAAACAAAAAAAATAACCCAAATAACAGTATCATCACACCTAAAAAATAAATTGACAATTATTCCTTAATATTACCACATATCTAGTCAGGATTCAGATTTCCCCAGTTGTTTCTTTCTTTTTTTTTTTTTTTTAAACAGTTGGGTTTGTTTGAATCAGGATCTAAACAAGAGTCCCTTTGCATTTGGTTGATACATGTTTTGGGTTGCTCTTTTTTTTTTTTTTAAATTATAGGAAATTTCAAACATTTATAAAAGCAGAGAAAAATGTGGAATGAATTTTCCTATGTACCCATCAACCAGCTTCAAGTACTGTCAAGATATGGCTATTATTATTTCATCTACACCCCTTCATTTCTCCTTTCCCCATATCATTAAATTGAAGCAAATTCTGAAAATCATAGAAACTTGACTATGTATCTCTAAAAGAGAAGGATTTAAAAAAAAAAAAAAAGACAATATCACAACACCTTAATCACACCTAAAAACGTAAAAAATAATTCCTTAGTATCATCAACTATCCAATATTCAGATTTTTCTAATTATCTCATAAATGTTTTTTTAACAATTGATTTGTTTGAAACTGGATCTAACCAAGATCCACACGTTGCATTTGATTGATACGTCTCTTAAATCTCTTTTAATCTACAGGTTAAACCTCTTTCTTTTTCTCTTTCTCTCTCTCTTTCTTGCTGTTTATCTTTGTTCTTGCCATTATGAGAGAAACAAAGTCTTTGTTGCTAGGAATTTCCCACATTCTGGGAAATATACTCCCTATATTTCTTGGAAACTGATAGTTAGATCTAGAGGCTTGATCAGATTTAGATTCAGTTTTTGGCACAAATACTTCTTCGGTGGTATAATGTACTTCCTATGACATCATATAAGGAGGTGTCTGGCTTTCCCTCTTTTTTGTGATGTTAAGATTGATCAGTGGGTTCACATGTTGTCAGTCTGCTTCATCCATTATAAAACTCCTCCTCAGCCATTTGCCTAATAATTTTAGCTGCCATGGATGTCATTGTCTTGACCCATTATTTCATTAGGGAAAAGGATGTATTTAATATAACCAAAAGTTGGTCCTGTCATTCAGAATTGTTTTGCATTAATGTTATACCTTAGATTTTTTTAACATCATAATAAATTTTGTTTGTTTATTTTAATCACTTTTCGTGGCAGTGAGGGGAAATAAGGTTTAGGAAGAATGCCTTGTGAACCATAAAAATCTATATAAATATTGCTGTTAGGAGCTTTATTAAAATATAAAAATATAGAGAGATTGTTTTCAATAAAAATCATTACTTTTTATCTCAATAGATTCTCAAAAGGATTTGGAAAATGTCCCATCAGTAAATTCTCAGGCACAGGAGACCACAGTCACAGCAAGTGCCACCAGAGAAGCTCAGACCCCACACCCTGCCTCTGGTGTTAACAAAAACCACCAAGGGGTAGAGGTAATAGGTCCAGGAAGTGCAGATGAAACAACTGATGGGAAATACCCAAAGGATGAAGCAGAACAGGAGACCAAGTGGAGTTCTCAGGATGGAGAAGAAGGGCATCACTTCCATCCAGGAAGTCTGGGTGCAGAAGCCTTGGATCCAGATCCTAACCGTTCTCCAAGTGACAGGGGAGAAAGGGCAGATGCACACTTAGGGAGCCGCTCTGCAGCCCTCCCTGAGGAAGCCAGTGTCAGAACCACAGCTTCCCAGGAGCCACCTGCCCCAGACTCCCAGGATGCCCAGACTCCTGGTCGTTCCAATGCGGGGCTGGAGAGCCAGTACACACTGAGGCGGCGGCCGGCAGCACCAGGTGAGAGAACCCACTGAATGACTGTCCTGCTTTGTGTTGCTGTGCTACTGAGCACACAGCCTAAGTGAAGCCCTTCTTTCTTTTCGGAGAATTTTTGCCTTTCTTTCACAGGATTAGGGTAAAATGTAACTTAAAAACCTTTTTTTTTTTTTTTTTTAATAAAGATGCAGGGGCCTTGACATTCTTCGGCCCTGCATGTTTGCTGCTAATATGTAGAGTGCTTGCACGTGCTGTAAAATGGAGCTGAAAGCAGTCTTTGTTGCTGCACACAGGTAGTCTTAAGCCCAATCTAGGAACCGGCTATAGATTTTTTCACCATGTATTCCCTCACATCTTCTGCTGTAAGGAAATGTGGTCTTCAAAGTTTATGGTTCCCTAATTGCTCCAGCTGGGGACTCTGATCTATGGAGGGGTAAGCCCTAGAGAGAATCGCTGAAGGGGATGGTCTGTAACTCCCATCATAAGTACTGCCCCTGCTCCTTTTTTCTTTGCCCCATGTGCTCCCCTGCCTCGTGCCCTCTTGCTGTCTGGAAGGCTCTCCAGAATCCAGTTTTTCTTCTACACTGCCTTATACCCCAAATTATCTCTTCTTCCTCCTTAACACCCACTCTTCTCAAGTCTGAATACCTTTACCAGGAATTGTGATAAAATGGAAGTTGAGTAAAATAAGATAAAAGCGAGGTGAGGTTTTATTGGTTAACTTTTATGATATTTATATCTTCAGTATATAAACACATCATGTGATTACATTTTTAAAAGTGTTGAACTGATTGTTGTGTAGTGCCTGGGGTCCTAGAAACTTGCTAGATGCCATACAAGGTACAGCAATTGGTCTCTATTTGCCTGTAGCAGCAGAGGAAGAAGGAGAGTCAGGAATCTGAGGAGGAACTGGAATACATGTCTGATTGCCCCCATGAACCTAATGCCTTCTTTTCTGTGAGACCAGAAGAAGTGGATGGTGCTGGCTACCATTACTGAACATTTTGATCAAAGATTCTATGAAAGAGTCCTGATCAAGAAATGCAAAGTATAGAACAGAATTGTAAATTCTCATGGAATGTAGACTTTCTAGAGCCATTGTGGCTGGATGATCCCCACCCCCAAACTGTTGCCCTGAGGTAGTCTTTAAACCTAACCTAAACTCTCCTCTGAAGTCATCTTTAAACCAAACAGTAGTTTAGCTTAATTAATAAAGAACATTTGCCTTGAGCATTGTACTCTTCTAAAGAATTATCTGTAGGTAATCAGATTGACAACAGCTACTCCAAAAGTTAGATGAGAAGCTCAGGGGGCAGTGAGTTTGAGATAAACCAAGCTGACTCCTAGTGACCCTGAAGGGCAGATTAGAACTGCCCCATAGGGTTTCCAGGGCTGTAATCTTTATGGAAGCAGATTGCCACATCTTTCTCTTTTAGAGTGGCTGGTGGGTTCAAATCATCGACCTTTCAGTTAGCAACTGAGCACTTAACCACTGTGCCACCAAGGCTCTTTGAGTTTAAGATGATGGTGGTGAAATAATTTGGAAAATTATAGTGAGAATGGTTGCACAACTTGAAGAATGTAACCAGTGTCACTGAATTGTACATGTAGAAATTGTTGAATTGCTGTATGTTTTGCTGTGTGTATTTTTAAAAAAAAAAAAAAAAAAAAAAGCTGAACTGAAAGTGTATCATTTTTGTTACCTGTCCTCCTCACCACCCTTTTTCCCTCTCTCTACGAATTGCTTTTGGTCTGCAGGCAGGTGGGCTTTCTGTGGCTGCTTGACCATTCGGAAGACGACCTCTTCAGTCACCTTTGTTTCCTCAGTGGCCTCTACAGTTAGTTTCTCGGGGTACCTGTCCTTTCTTTCTCCTTCTTGGAGGGCTGAATGCTTTTATCTTGAAGCCTCAAACTGAACCTAAAATCCTCAGAAAGTAGAAATGAATTCTTTTTACTGTTGTGGCAGAACATTCTTACTACTTTTAACCAACTCTGGAAGCTCTTTTTTTTTATTTATTTTATTGTACTTCAGGTGAAGGCTTACAGAACAAATAGTTTCTCATGAAATAGTAGTACACATATTGTTTTATGACATTGGTTAACAACCCCACAAC